CCGAGTTCCGCTTTTATGACCAATCTCGTTGTGATTATAATGATGAGCGCATATTTTAAAATGGAAAGGTGCAACACATTTTTTTCTTCCAACTTCTACAATCCAAACGAAAACCATTTCAGTTCAACTTTTCGTTCCCTTCTCTATCTTTTCGTATTGTATAGAGTGAGTTTATCGTTTTTCATAACGCAAAAAATTACAGAATTGTTTTTTTAACAGACAAGTATAAAGTGTGGCAGCTTTTTAAATGGGCACTTTATGCACTTACCCTTGAAATGGCATTTCCAAATAGTTTTCACTCTCAGGCCCGTACGGCTACGTGACTACCCTATTAGTATTCTTGTTGCTCGGCCTTCCTATGAAAAGTGTGAACCTTGTCGTCAAAAAAAAGGATGTCCATTTTTCATATAACGAGTGAGTCAGCTCATTTTTATGTTGGTACTCCTGATGTTATCTCCATTTGTTTACACGTAAGTCGTACCAATAACATATGCATAAAATCACTGGCTAACTTTTTGGCATTGTTCTTTGAGTTTCAAAAAAATACCTCAGAAAATTGACAAATTTGGAAAAAGTTGAGCCTTCCCGAACATTTTGGTTACGGAGATGCTCTGTACAATCCAAATATATTCATTTGCAAAGTGATGAATTCCAAACATTAACAAAACGCCATAATCTATTTTTGTTATTTTCAAATATAACCGAAATGTAGTTTGAACCATCCGCTATACAAAAATAGTGTCTCATTCAGTTTTACAACATTTGGATAAATTTAACTGATTTCGCATTTCATCTACATATACATCCATCGTCTCGTGAAAAACGTTTATTTTATTTAGCTGTTGCAAAAAGTTTTCCCCTTTTGTCAAAATTTTAAATATAAATTCAAGAAATGCCACAGTCTACTGTTGATGAATCATCGAGGAACTGTAAACACAAGTACCTCGAAAAAAAAGCACACAACGAAATATTTTTTATTCTTTGTCAAAGATGTATGTTGTCGTCATGTTAATATCATTCAAGCGAAGCTTCTCAATACACTAAAGCTTTTGAAAAATTTAATGCTTATACATAAATCTAAGGGGAGAATTTAAATTATTTCGTTTATAAATCGTAAAATGATCTTCGTTGCTACGGATAAAGAACGATAAAAAGAAACGCACGCGGCTTCATGTTTTTATCAAGCTTAACATGTTTTTATATTAGATGGAACATCTCTTTGGTTGAATTTTTTGTTCGGTTGACTATAACGACGATGAAATACAAACAGACATTTCACTTTGATGGGTATTTGCATTTATTCGAATGAAAATTACGTACATTTCCGCACATTTATTTGCAATAGCAGTTCAAACGGCACTCTCTCTCTGCACACTGACTGGCAAAAATGAAACAAAGTACACTGAGTGTAGTAAACCGACCGATACAATGGAATGTTGAACTTTAATAAATTATTAAAAATGATGGGTTTGAGCTGTTATGAGAAATTGGTCGCCGCGGAGCAGTATGTCGTCTACTTTCAATGAACTCAATTCAATAACCTCAGTGAGCGTAAAGAATTTAATCTTAATGACGTTATTGGAATAATTTTGCTATTATTCATTCGAGGCCACATTCAAGCACAACATTTCGGAGTTATTTCGTTCATAATTTGCTTGTAATTGGAAAATTTTGTCTTTCATTCGTCTTATCCCCATAAGTATGGCGAATTTCATGGAATTAAGCCGAGAGATGAAACAAAGTAAGAGATGAAGATATTTTCTTTCGTTCGAAAATTCCAACAATAAGCACACATCAACCATTTTACATCGACCGAGTTTTATCCGACAACGGTGCTTTAAAGCAGATTATAATTGCTGCACCAATTACCCTGAAAATGCTAAATATTATCCAAAAATTGTTATAACAATATTTATTGTGGATTTAATTTAGTTTAAATCAAGTAGGGTATTTCGAATAAACGGACAACGAAAATTATTTGTAAAGCCAACATTTTATGTATTTGTGTGTTTCCATTTTCACTTCGGGCCAAAATTGTTGAGATAAATACAAGGAAAAAATTCAACATATTTTTTTTTTTTAACCGGAGCGATTGAATTACATCCAAAGAAATGCTACCATGAGAATATGGTCTTTAATTTATTGGTCTTGTTTCATACCAGCGATGCGAACCGGTTTGAAATTTCGCATACAAACCGATTTCGGAGTGGTATCTCGAATTGGTTTCATTTGTGTATTGAACGAAGCAAGCGGAACGTTCCGAAAATGGTTTGTATGGCGAACATACATTCACGCTATCATAGCGTCGCTATGTATACGTGAATGACGATGCTTTGAATGTATGAGTGTACAAAGTTGATGCTATGCACACAGTACAGCTCATCGCAGACTGCGATTTGCAGTAGAAACCATTTTTCGAACGTTCCGATTGCTCCGGTTTGGTTTTAAGTGAAACCAAAAAAATGGTTTGGTTTCGATTCGTATCGCTGTTTCATACACACATCCAATTTGCTCTATTTATTTTTTTCTCTGCACAATTGCTAGAATGCATGGCATCATTTGGCCTTCTGGATGATGAGCTTGACTTTATTGTAGTTTGTAGTCACAGCATGATATATTATATAAATTTATCTACTCTGTTTTAACCCGATTCTGACAACTGTTCATTATGTCACAATGGTAATTTCTGGCAAAATGCCCATAACAAATCATAAACTGGTTTTATAGAACACTATATTCAGTGCTCTATATCATCTGTATTGTATCCAACACACATGGTTTCCGCTCGAAGAAATGATTTCCTCTATTAAATGACGTGTGATTATAATTTGGCCAAAAATTTCATCATCACATTGCAGCGATTGTACATCATATCTTAAATTAATCGGATAAAATTCCAGTTTGGAAAGTTCTTTGGAAAACCGTTTGGCCTCGTTGAAAACAATTGAAAAGTAATTGAAAGAATGGATTCTTTTCAATGTGTTCATTGGTGAAATGAAAGCTAAGCTTGAAAATGTAATTATCAAAAATTCATTTCAAAATGGAAAGAAAACAAACATCTGACGTATTGCAAACATTGATAAAAAATAAATGGCCATCGACATTTTGTTTTCAGTGTTCCACCATTTTGCGTTTGTTTTTAAAAATGTGAAGAGTTTCATGCTTATACAAACCGAATATTTTTCTTTCTCTCGCTTTTTCTTTCAATTTCTGAATCATTGATTGCCACATATCTCTGTATATAGTGAGAGCATTGTGAGCGTTTTGCATCTTTTGTAATGCCAGTTAACGAGTGGCAATTGTATAAAGAGATGAAGAGAGGAACAGAGATAGGGAAAGAACAAAAATGTTTCATTCAATGCGAGATTTAGTGTGTAGAAAATTAAAAAAAAAAGAAGAAAACAACCACACGAAAGTGGGAAGAAAACCGACTGCACTTAGCAATTCCATCGAAACACAAATGTCGATATGGGTATGTGTGCATTCTCTACTCAATGGGCACCAATCAAACCGCAACAATTACATAAATCTTTGTGTAGCAGTTCTTTTTTCACTCTATTTCTCTATCTGCTTCTCTTTTTCTCCGCATCTTTTGCCTATCACACTTGAGTGCATTGAAACATCCGTGTGTGAATTTTACGTTTATACGTTGACCTGGGAATAAAAAAAGAACAAAATGCATGCCATCGAAATGGCAGCAGAACGTATATATCGGTTCGGTTTCTACTCTAGTGAACATTGTTCGGGTGTTCGTGTGCAAGAATGTTACCGTATAACCCTGAATAGATGTATCGAGCGAATGAACGATTTCGCATGAAATCACTATTTGTTGCATTTTTCTTCCATTGATTTTAACACAGACATTTTCTTTATCTTTTTTTCCGCGACGAAATGCATTTTGTTGGTTTTCGATTTTTTTTTAAGCGTCGATACGACAATAGAATATACACTATACGTGTACAATGTATATAAAAACAGTGCGAAAAGTATTCGAGATTTCACAGGATACTTCGAAAAAGTAACTTTAGAAAAATGCTTGGGATTTGTGTCAAGAGTGCGAAACGAACCATTAAAACGACAAATTTAAGGTCTTTTGGATAACAGATATTTCACATCACAAAATCCGTTCATTAATTTACGTGTGTGTATATATTTTTGGCTTTTCTTTATAGCCACCTTTCTCAATACCCTTAAAATTCTCTTGAAATAAACTTATTTCAATTGAACCACTTTTGAGTCTTTCGACAGCAACTCTCCTATAGAGTTAAAATCGAATACAAGTGTTGTTTGCCATTTAGGAATAACCAAATGAGCAATGGCTTCACAAAATGCAACGCTTCGATAAATCTCAAATCAATTTGGCCAGTGATTCAGTAGTGCCGAAGTGACACTCGTGTGGCATACATTCAAAAAACAACTTCGAACCAATTTAGTGGAAAACATTTCTGGCATTCGATGGTTGCATATAATTTTTTTCTGTTACGATAAAAAAAAAATAGAAACAATACGAGGAAGAGCCAGACACTGGAGTAAGAGGAGAAGAGATGTGCGATAGTGCTTGTAGAACATTTTCAATTTATCACGGTGATTTATTGATTCGCTGCCTGGTTGAAGTATTTATTTGACCTCAACCGTTCACACATCTGTCACATAATTCAATAATTCGCCACAACTCAAGTTGAAAATTAAAAAAAAAGCACAAATAAATGTGCAACTATAGCACACACACAGAGTGAATATAACACTACATTTATTCACTCAATTGGTAATCTTCCGTTTGAATTTTCCATCAAATGGAATGCGCAATAGTCACACTAAATCTTTTGCTTAACTAAATTTGTTGCATTGAACACACACACATTTATGGCTAAAACCAATCCAATTTCTTTTCATTTCGTATTCTTACTTTCTTCAACAAACACATAAAAAACATGACCAATTTTTCTTGCGAACGACAAAAATACTGAAAACTAATATTTCACGCTCTTTTTTTCTTGCAGGATCACGATATTGACATTTAGCTGAAGAAGTTGACTCGTTATTGGGCAAGAAAGTAGAAGTGTCGTCGTATTTTGTGCAGAACATAGGAGCCGAGCATTTCGAGATATCAGGTAATAGAGCTAAAGCCGTTTTTTATTGAATGTTGGTATGCAAAGAGATCAAATGAGCAATGAATTGAGCTCATATTTTATCCATAGTACCTGGTGAACGAATCAAATAAAATGGATTTTTTCTATCAAATTCATTCACGTGCACTTAATCCCTACGAACTACCGTCACTTGCTTTCTATATAGACTGTATATTTTTTTTGAGCTTCGCGTTCCCAGCGCCATCTCTACGTGCACCTGAAAATTAGAACAAAAAGTATGTGTAGAATGTTTGTATAATGCAAAACCATGTGTTGTGCAACGTCCTCGCAAATTATTTCGATGGCACAAACTGTGCAAAGTAATTTTAATTTATTTTCCATCACAAATTCACTAGATGCAAACAATAAATCGGTTTTTGTTCAGAGCGTAGAATGACAGATGTCACAACAAATGATTCCATATTCAAACTTCGAATCAATCAATATTCTACACATACTTTTTGTTCTAATTTTCATGTGCACGTAGAGATGGCGCCATCATGCAGTTTTTGGCATTATTTGCCATTGTAAGTAATGGTAGCCTACGAACCAATAGCTTTCAACGAAAAAAATCGATGGATAAAAAACATACACATTTAAAATGTTTTATAAGATTCAACAGATTTACATCTGTTTTATATAATTTTTCTATAGGTTTGAGTGCAAAAAAATTGTAGCTGGACACAAAAATCGGTTTGGCTAATATTAGAAAAAGTTTCCTTTCACTTCAACGTTGATAATTGAAAAGGAAAAGTCTATATGCTTCATTAAAATGTCTGACCATGAGACAAAATTATGAACTCGATCAACAGCCACCATACTATATGATATTATAAGCCAATTTAAACAAGAATTTATGCCAACAAATTAGTTCCAAGTTTGATCTAATGAAGAGAAAAAGAACGTGTGTTAGACGTGTGCTGTGAATGAAGGTGTAATAAAGTAAATGGATATCGTCTGGGAGCGGTAATTTGACTGATTTCAGCAATATTCGTATTGAATAATGGCAAAAACACATACACACACGTATTCATGCAATATTCGTGCTATCATCACCTTTTGGCCAGATCATTTATTTCGATCATGTAAGCAAGAGCATTCAACATAATTTCATAATGAATTAATCTATGCACAGAGATGGAGTAAAAGGAGAGTGGTTGGGCGGATTTTGGGACTAATTCACTGCAATTTGATACACCTACAACCAAAAACATGGAAAGAAAATAGCTCGGAAAACTTAATCCTTTTGTGTGGCTTTCGTTTGATGTGATTTATGTTGTGTTGTGGTGTTCTGTACTTGCTGCACACAGATGTTTACCAAAATGTTCCATATTTGGTACAGTGTATATATGTGAATTTGTGTGTTGCACGCCCAAAACAATGAATTATACCGTTTTGGCTCGACGGTGTGGTTAAAGTAATTTTACGAACAGAGAATAAATAGCGAATATTTTCTATGTACCAAACTATGGTGCGAGAATATCACAATCACACACTGATACACAAAAACCAAAATCTACCATAGAGTGAAAGACAGATTTTACTTCGTTTTCGTTACAATTTAATTGAACAAAATTTCATTTAGCTGTGCAATTGAACGAGAAAAAAAAACACTTTTGATAGCGCTGACACATTGTGTACAATGCCAATATTCCGATTTGCGGTTAATTCGTACAACACAAACATACAGAACAACGAATTTGAAACTATTAATAAATAAAACTCGTAATGGTTTCTCGAACAAAAGGAAAATTGCAAATAAACCAACCACAATCATTATTCAGTGCACTTTTATTCGATGCTTTGGCCTGTAATAAAAATAACCTCACGAACAATTTGATCAATGAGTGGAGAGAATTGCCACTGTTTTGTGGCCAGACATTTTAAAAGTGACGCTGTTATATTGTAGAATTCGATTTCGAGAAATTTTTAATTTCAATTTGATAAAATGTAATTTGACGTCAATATAAAAAGCTGCCATTTCATTGTTTAATTTATTATTTGTTACTATTGTTCATATCATTTTTCAACATATCGATTCAACAATCGAAAACGTGTGCACAGTTGTGTTTGACGTCAATTATATTTTTTTTGAGCTGAAATGATTTTGACCAAAAGCTAATTACATTCGTTAGAAAACCGATACACCATTCAAAATCAATTACATAACGCTGAGACTGGTTAGGTTTCGGATATGGTTTCAAATATCCTATGCAGATTCTATTTTATTGTAGAAACATAATGAAATCTCTCTTTGTATAAATTCATTGAATACTTGATCAAATTAAATTTCAAATGTATTGAACAACTTTTAAAGAAATAATTCATCGCAATGAACATATTTTTCTGAACCAAAAACTTGGCCCAAAACCGTTTTATAGCAATATTGGAGAATGGCCTCTAATTTAAAGCTGAAAATTAATTCACAAATTATGTAAAATGTAAATGGTTGATTTAAATAGACATTGACGATCACAGTTTAAAATTTGATTTGCCATTTTCAGCAACAAATCGAATGGATTTTGAATTTGAGCAAATTACCTGTTATTTGTTTAAATTGCTGCCAGCATGTTTTGAATTTTATCGTTCATGGACTAATTTTGAATGCAATTGACATCAGAACTACTTCAACGTTTATTGAAAGAACACTATTAAATTAATGGACACACTGAATTGATAGCGCAAACACACACACAATTCATTAAAAAGTTAGTCATTTGCATTTGACTGTAACAGTTATTTCAAATGAATCCATTTGTGTGTAAGAAAGAAAAAAACGTACTACTATCACCACAACAAACTGTATAATTAACATTTGATTGTGTGAGTTTTCTGTTGACTCTAACCATTCTATTGCTTCCATTTCAACTGCGCGCGTACCATTTAACCAGCACCAAAAAAGAGCGATCACTTTTACAATATTTATTTTGGAGAGTATTTTTCAATCAAATTTTTGTGCACCGAACAGTTTTTTTGTCATGGGCCTTTTCCATTAGTTTTGCAGCTGCTACAAATTCTGTAGTAATCGTATTATACATATATCCTCTATGTGTAAATAACAGTTCAATGGCAAATTGTTTTTGAGGAAAAATTGTTGTTGTTTTTTTTTGAACGTAAATCGATCACAAAAAGAAAAAAAATATTACGGTAAAAATGAATTAAAAGTGTAAAATGTATTAACAAAATACAGTATTGATACACCATGCCTTTGATGAATTTGACCGGATGCAATGAATGCAATTTGCCGGAATTATGTATTCCATCACTGTCATTTCGAAAAATAAAAAAATGGAAAACGATTTTTTCATTGTGTAAATTGGTTCACTTGGAACCAGAACAAACGAATGAAATACAAAAAGCGAATGAAATTTACTACAATTTGACCTCAATGTAAAGTTTTACATGTGTATATTGTTCGTAAATAAATGTCAGACTAAAAAAATTGCCAATGCTACGTTTTTACGTTCATTTTGTTTCATTTTTTACCAGTAGCGAAAAATGCTTTAAAATGAATAAAAAATAAAGGGAAAAAAATCATTTTTATTGGTAATCGTTACTCGAATTGAATCAATGACACGAAAACGTCCATAATATGTTTAATGTTTCACGTATCATTGCCAGTGAGAAGATGTGAGAATGTGAGAAAAGGTCCCTGGACCCAATCAATGCCAATGCTGAAATTTCCTCAAACATTTATGGTAAATGCCTCTTTTTACTCTTGATGAGTATTGAAGAAAAATCGCTTTAGGTTTCGGAGATGTGTGAATCTTCCTAAAGAGCTAGTGATAATTCAAAACAAAAATCAACATCAATTCGGTTTTCCGTACGAAAATCGAATGAATGTGTGATTTATGACCTCAAAGGAAAAAGCAAAACGACAAAAACAACAAATAAGATAAGTGTGCTCTGATGCAAACAATGAGTTTGTCGTTTTATTGGCTCTAGTTTGGATCACAAATGTGAAACCATGAATAATCAAACAACCTGGTTTGCATACAGGACACGCAGGAAGAATTGGAGGGTTCAATATCAGGGTCTCTAACGTGATACATGTAACATATATGTCTTATGTATGTGTATGTGCGTGTGTGTGTGTTATCGTTTAAAAACGTGCCGAACGATACGTGAGTAACAATTCATTTTGCAGTGAATGTCATGCTGTACCAAAAACTGATGTTTGATACACATTATCTGGTGTGCGTGAGAGAGTTTCTACACATAAAACGAACAATGGACAAATAATAATATATTTCCAATACCCATGTGAATTCGAGAAAAACTCGTTTGAAACTTTCCAACACAATCGTATACCAATCGTTGTCTTGAACATATGAAATTACCTCAGGCCAAAGAAAAAAATTTCCCATTCATGTCATGTTTCGATTGACATTTGAGGTCGTTGATGAAAATGCAATTTTACGCTTGCTTTACTTCGCTTCAAATCATTCAATTTTGAGAGCTCACACGTCGCACTGTAACTGTGATCCTGCTGAAAGATTTCATTGTCGTCGTCTCTCATCGAACCACATTGTATACGGTTATCTAATAGAATAGATGAAATCAATGACAAACATATTTCATTCTTTTTTCAGATTTCATTGCATTATCTGTTATATATCTTAATCATATACACTAAACAGCAGTAAACAGTTTACTTGTATTGCACGCAGCATGTTATGCGCATAACATTGTAAAATAGTTCATATTCTGTTAGAAATTCTCGAATAAATTTCCATTGTCATCACATCAACAATCGCCTGGTTTTTACTCCGAATGATAAATTGAATGTTAAACATTTAATTGTTATTTCATTTGGGGCAAATGCTTGTTTGCTTTTAAAATTATCATTTCAGATAATACTTTCATTTTTTTTGCTCTCCACATAAACAGCATTTTTGTGTCAGCAATGTGTGGGCTTCATTTTTGGTTTTGGCTTTGTGTTTCCACTGCACTCGAAATGCTATAGCGAATAGCGGAGGGGC